TGTCTTAGCAATAACAAACAAACTTATACAACATAGTCTTGTATTTTACTTAACATTTCCTTTATTGCAGTAATAGGTACTTACAAAGTAATTCAAACCACAGTCATTTAAAAAGAATTAAAAGAGTTAGTTTCTATTGAAAGACATTTCCTTTACATTTCCCATTACAGTTATGCAAAAAAAAAAAACAGTTACAACAATCTTCTCTTTTATTTATATTTTACTAACCATATAACAATAACAGTACTTGTAGCTTAAATATAGGCTTATTAAAACTAATTCGTTTAAATAAAATCATGTTAACAGATCATGTTTATAATGGTGCATGTGTCCACAAAACTAAAAATATTGTAAAAGTAAATAAAGACAAATAAAAACTCAAAAACTAAATAATCTTTCATTCATCTTATCATTCCACATCCCTCACATCCTTTATATCACACACCTGTTTCATCTTCAAAAGTCAATCGGTCAAAGGTCATCAGGCCATCGTTTCATCTGATCAACTGCGGTCGACGTTTTCCCTGGACCCTCATCATGTGCATGAACTTTCTCCACATCATAGCGGTCATTTCTTTTGACCTTAATGACATGGTAGGGACCTAGGTATTTAGGTTGCAACTTAAGTCCTACTCCAAACTGAGTGAGCTTGATTGCTATGAAATCCCCTATTTCATACTTGCAGCCTTCTTTTCTACGCTTATTAAAGTTTCTTCTATTTTCTTCTTGTACTTTCAATACGTGTTGTTTGGCTTTCACTCTTAAATCTTCTCTGTTTCTGTTATACTGTTCAACCTCTTAACTCTGTAAAATTTGTATTATTTCCAAATCTTCCTTTTGTCTCAACTTTGTACCAATCATTAGTGTGAATGGAGTTGTATCAATGCTCCTATGGTATGTGCTGTTCAAAGCTCTCTGTAATCGACTTACATGCTTATATCATAAGGAAGGGTCTTCAATGCATAACTTTGTCAAGACTGAGATGATTGTGCGATGCACTCGTTCCACCTGTCCATTTTCACGTGGTACTCCATTTGTTATAGTGATATTTTGTATACCTTCTGTCTCGCAAAACTCTCGAAAATCGTTTCCTGTAAATGCGGTACCTTTGTCAGTTATTATTCTGTCTTGGTTGCCAAAATGTTGTTGAAAAATCTTTAATTTGTCCAATGTTTCCTTACTGGTTGTGGACTTTGTTGGAAATATCCATGTAAACTTGGTGAAGGCATCAACCATTGTCAAAATGTAATTATACTGTTTTTTAGTTTCCATTAGAGGCCCAATATGGTCGATATGCAAAGTAAAAATCCTTCTTGTTTTCCGGATTTTCTTGTTGCCAGTAAGCATGGTATGCATGTTGTCATGAAGTCTTGTAATTTATTATCCAACTGATTGATGTAATAGCTGTTACTTATGATTTCTTTCATTTTCTTGCATGAAAAATGACCAATACCATGAGTTATTTTTATTATTTGTTTTTCCAAAGTTTTTGGTATTACCAATTGTTTCAATTCTCCTTTATACAGCAAATCATTTTCGATGCAATAATCTTGTTAAGAACCATTCTTCAATATTTCTTTGATAGCTTTGAGGCCTTCATCTTAGTCTTGCATTTGTCTGATTTGTTGATGCATATCGGTGATCAACATCACTGTAGGAAAATCACGGCTGAGTGCGTCTGTATGTTTAATCTTTGAATCTGCTCGGTGCTCCACAGTGAAATCAAATTGGTCTAAAAATATACACACCGGCACAATTAGCGGAACACAAAAAAGCAGGATTTTAAAATCTTTTACTTGAGGAACTGGCCAGTTATGATATTATTTTAATTTATTGTCAAATTTGAAAATAGAAAATTAGATGACATACACTTTTTTCATTCATTTGTTTTATTTTCCCGAACAATACGTTTTGTCAACTTGTTCGAGTAATAACTACGTAATTGTAATTTTTTTTTGAAAAATTGCACTTAATGGTTTTTTATAAATTTGTTATTCTATAGGCAATTTTGTTTATTAAAAGCTCTTTATTATGCCTGACTTAACATCACTGGAAATCATTAGGGCTGATAAAATGAGAAGAAATGGCCATACCTACAGATCGATTGCCTCAAGGCTTCGTCGACCAGTATCAACGATTCATCGCAGCATCCAGCGGTACAGATCGTCTAATTCTATTGTGAGGAGGAGGGGTCAAGGTAGAAAAAGATGTACATCGAGGCGAGATGACAGTTTTTTACAACTTCGAGTTCGTAGGAGTACGCGATTAACGGCTGTACAAGCTCGAAATGAACTGGAAGACGTTCGAGGAGTACGAGTAAGTGAGCGTACAGTTCGCAGGAGATTTGAAGAAGTTGGTTTAGGGTCGTACATAACTGCCAAAGACCCAAAACTTGAGAGACGTCACCGCGTAAACCGATTAAGCTATGCGCGAGAACATCGTCATTGGGATTTGCACGAATGGCAGCAGGTTCTCTTTACTGATGAGTGCAGAGTTCTTTTAAAACAGATCGATGGGAGACAGCGAATATGGAGACGCAAAGGACAATGCCACATATAGTCTAATTTTGAACACACAGTGGCTTATGGTGGCGGCTCGATTATGGTTTGGGGAGGGATATGTTTGGGAGCTCGCACGGAGTTAGTGATAGTCATAGGAGAGACCATGACAGCAGATCGATACATCAGAGACATTTTAGAAGAACATGTTGTACCATTTGCCCCATTTATTGGTGACGACTTTATTCTAATGCAAGATAATGCTCGTGCTCATAGTGCACAATCGGTACCGGCATATCTGAGCCACGTAGGTATACCGGTGATGCAGTGGCCAGCAAATTCCCCCGATATGAATCCGATAGAGCATGTCTGGGACTTGCTAAAAAGAAGGGTTAAATCCAGAATGCCACCCCCCAAAAATCTGAATGAATTTGGAAACGCATTACTTGAGGAGTGGGAGCGGTTGCCTCAAGAAATCATCGATAACATAATCTGTTAGGCAAACACTCGTTATTAATTTTGCTTTAATTTTATTGTTAAATCATTTAATGCTTACTTTTTTTTATTTTTTTGATGGTTCATAATCATCTAAAAATTTCACTTATTTCAAATTTCTTTATTTTTCAATAAAAATAACGAAGACTTTTCAAAGTCGTTGTTAAAAGATGTTAATCAATTTGTTATTTTGTGTCTAATTACATTTTCGTCAAATATATGCGTTATTATCTCATAGTCTCACTTTTTTTCCGTTCCGCTAATTGTGCCGGTGTGTATAGTACCCATCTCGCTACTTTAGCTGACAAATCTTTTTTCCTCAATGTTTGTTCAAATGCTCGGCAATCTGTAATGATTTTAAACTTAATTCCATGCAAATAATGTCTAAATTTCTTTACACCTTCAATAATAGCTTGTGCCTCTACTTCGTAACTTGAATACTTTCTTTCCATATCATTGGTCTTTCGACTCATGTAGTAAACTGGATGCCATCCGTCATGATGAAATTGTAATAATATTGCTGCATACGCTAAACATGAAGCATCAGTGTGTAATTCTGTAGGCAAACTACTATCAAAAATCTTTAATACTGGATTACTAGATAATTTATACTTTAAGATATTAAACGCTTTTCTTTGGTCTTCACCAAAACAAAAAGGAGTATCTGTTTTGAGCAAATCTGTCAATAACTGTGCAGTTAATGCGTAGTTCTATATATTTTCGAAAATCGAAAATATGAGGTTATACCAACAAACCTTTGTACTTGCTTGACATTACCGGGCTCGGGATACCTTACTACTGCATCAGTCTTTTCTGGGCTAGGTTTTACCTCTCCATTCTTGATGACACGTCCCAAATATTCTGTTTCCTTCTGGACAAGTTTAGCTTTCTTCCAGTTTATCTCCAGTCTATATTCAGATGCCACTTCAAGTACCATTTGCAAGCGATGTACTGCCTGGCTTTCATCGCTAGCTGGAATCAAAATATCGTCGATAAAGATCAGAATAATCCCCTTATTTATTAAATCTCTGAAGATAATTGAGACAAATCGCATGAAATTCTTTGGACAAACTGAGAGTCCAAAGGGGGCTCTCAAGAATTCAAACTGGCCATGATGTGTTACGAAGGAAGTATAGGGTAAAGATTCCTCGCTTACTTTTAAATGTAAAAATCCATTTTTCAAATCTAAAATACTGAAGAATTTAGAGTCTTTCAATTTATCAATTAAATCCTCTATAATAGGCAAGAGAAACTCATCCTTCACAAGTTTGCTATTTAGTGCCCGTTAATCTACACAAACCCTAGTTGTCCCATCTTTTTTTGCACTAGAACCACTGGACTAGAATACTCAGAGAAACTCACCTGGATAATCTTCTTATCTAGCCATTCAGCTACCTGTTTTTCCACTATTTCTTGCTCTTTTAGAGATAATCTTCGGGATCGATGCGTCACTGGAATGTCGTCTTTCAGTACTATTTTTAACTGTATCGGAGCTTTTTTTTCTGTACTGGTTATTGATAGATTAACTGATGCACTTGTTTCTTCAACTCAGGATCTGTCATGGGACCTACAAAAGAAGCATGGTCACACTTATCAACAGTCATACATTTCATCCACTCGTCATCTTTCAAATAAAACCTCAATGCACCATCTTTCATTAACATAATAATACCTTGCAGGAAATCATGACCTATAATTACATTATACGGTACATAGTCGCTACTAATAATGTGGAACACACCATCGAAATGTTGATCATCAGTAATAAATTGTAAATAATATTTTCCTAATGATTTAATCTTACACTGTCCAATCCCTGATAAAATAGTATTGTCATTTTCCGCTTTTGGCTGACCTAATGCCTCGTAAACACTCTGATGAAATTATGTTAACGTCACTGCCTGAGTCGACTAATGCTTTAACACTAAGATTGCACACAGTTATCATTTTCACTGGTTTGAACGTATCCGTTTTGTCGGTGCAGGTATTGTTTACAATCTGCATAACCTCTCCGTTGCTGTTTTCAGAGTTTGACGTTGACGCTGCTGTCAAATGCGGGCCGTTATGGCTGCCAACATAGCCATCACACGACGAATGATCATTCACTTCCTGCGAATGAGTTGTTGATTCTTTCGTTGACGTCATCGACCGTCCGTACATAACGCGCTTCAACTTCATGTTGTCACTTTGCTGCCGCCTTCGTTCATTCTCGGGTACCGCCGCCTGATACCGAGTTTTGCCGAAAGTCGCCGAATGAAGTCGGCTACCGCCGCTTCGTTTATGCTCGGGCGTTGTTGTTTCGTTTTGAACTTGAATGAATGAATGATGCATCGGGCATGACGTAGCAATATGGCCGAACTGGTTGCATTTGAAGCACTTTAATCCCTTTTCTTTATATGGGCAAAATGCAGACATATGATTCATCTCGCCACAGCTAAAACAGTGATTCTTTTCAGATGGTTTTTGTCTGGAACTGCGCGCCTCCGATCGACGACGTTGTTCCATTTTACTCCTTACAGTTTCGTAAATACGTAGCTTTTCTTTTAATTCTGCGTACGTGGTTACACCATTATCTTAGCATTATCTTATTTGTCTCCAGATCACGTATCCCATCGACAATATATTTGATTTCCACGTAATCTGGCATTTTCCCTCTCTTTCCCAACTCTTTCATAGTCAGCATATAATCCAAACAGCTTTCATTGTCTTTCTTCTTGCGTGTGCTCATCGTTTCGTGTATGGTTTTGATGTCGACAGAATCAGGAAATTCTTTCAATACTGCAGCTTTTAGGTCATCCCACGACTTAAACGTTCGTTCCGCACGGAGCCAAAGCGCTGCTGTGCCGGTCAACGACCGCCTCGCCACTAATAATTGCTGTAGTGGAGTCCAGCCGAATATTTCAGCATTATCTTCGATTACCTGCGCCGTCGTGCCGCTGTGAATGTACCGTCTTGTCCTGAGTAGCTTGGTATGAGCTCCGAAGTCATTTTTAGCATGTTGCCGCGAAAGTCAGCTCGTGCGCCGATGCTATCTTCGAAATCATCCTGGCGACTTTTTCTACGCTCTTTTCCGTCTTTGCTCATCTTGGTGTAGGTACTCGTCTTTGTTTCGTCTTCTTGTAATAACTTCACCAAAATGCCGCCCGTCTTTGCCACTGCCGCGTGCTACCACGTGCCGCCAGCCGCCGGATGTTTCGCCTAAAACTCGTACACTGTCTTCTGAGGAATTTTACTGCACAGATACCGGACGAGCCCCCAAAAATGTAGTGTTGACCGTGCAGTAAAAACAGAAATACCTTGAAAACACTCTTTATTGAATTTAATTAATTTTGCGTGCGCGTCTTTTCAAGCGTCCTTTCCTCCATCTTCCTTTTTTATCATTCTCGCTCACTCACTATCATTCTTTTACTCATTCGTCATTCGCTCCGTTCCTTCCAGATTACTTCATTACGCTGCCTTCTATCCCACATGTACTACAAATGGGTTGGCTCGAAAGGGGAAGAACTACACTCCCACAGAATACCAGTGTTAATTATGCTGTGTAAAATACGATAAAGAGGTATTTTATCATAGTCCTCAGGCGTGACAATGCATCTACATTTTAATCTTAAATGTAGAACAAATGTAGGTCTATAACAGCATCTTCTTACCACCAGGTGAACTGCATGCTAGTTTGTCACTCTTATTCTATAAAAAGATACACTTACTATGTTTTCTACTAGGTCATGTAATTGGTGAAGAATTTAGGAATCGTAAAGGTTACTTTTCCTTAAATTTCCAAGCCACTGCGATGCTGATTTGAGATTTATGAATGTGATTGCCCATTGGCCAGGCTCGATACATGATGTCACAATATTTAACAACTCAATTCTTAGAGGTTTCTGACTAGTTTAATAGTTTTGTTAGCTTTTCTTATATTTCAATGTTATAATAATTTAATTAAATATGTCTTTATTTGCAGCACGATGTGATGCGGGTCTGTTTGGTAACCGCTGGATGCTTGGTGACAGCAGGCATAAAAAATCTTGTAACGAGCTTCTTCTAATATACATTCATCTTTTTCATTTCATTCAGAACATTTGGTGTCTGGAAGCGTTGCTTCCCTGTTGTGGCGTTAACACTGCGTTTATCATTGCCTAAGGTCCAGGCAATAATAAAATAAAATAATTTGATTTAAATAAAATATAATACTACTAAAGTGTATAAGCTGTGGGGTTTTATGCTAGCCTTTTTATCCTGTACACATTGACATATTGTAGAATGAGTTAGAAATAGCGCATAATGCTTTGTTTCTTCATTAATAGAGCGGGTAAAAAATGTCTAACACTTGGACGCCCGCAGTCAACGGAGATATTTTCGTGTCCAAGTCTTGGATATCCGCAGTTGAGAGGTTATACTACACTAGACATTATTGCTTTCTTAACCTCTCTGATTCTAATTTTAATTTCTCAGTCTCTAACATAAGCTTTTTATTTTTCAATCTAAGTTCTAAATTTTTTAGTTCAAAGTAATCATTTTCTAAGTTAATATTATTTAATTTGACATCCAAGCATTGGTTTTTTCCGTTGAATAATATTCAGCTATTGCAGTGTACCTGGCTGCCCTGTTCTCATCGGGCTTAAATTTCTTTTTCACTGGAAAACAAAGCAAATGTGAGATCAATGTAAGTGCAGTCACTTTATATCATACTGTAGATGCAATAATGGGATTTTGTTTATGTTTATCTGTTTCAAAGACATCAGTGTTCATAAAATTCTGTCATCTCATCTATAAGATCACAGTGTGAAAAAAAGCAATTATATCCAACTTAGTAAGGAGGTTAACATACTTTAATGAGATCATAACTATTAACATAAAATAGTCGATCTCATAAAGAAAAGATCTTTCGCAAATGATTATGACTGACAGTCTGATTTTCCTGTGATATATGTGATGTGATAGCTTGCATGGACACAATTAAATAAACCTTACATAAATAATCCTCCACGAGGTAAAATTAGTAAATATTGTATTACATAAAACTAAAGAAAGTAAGGAAGGTAAAAAAAACAAGAAACATTAATCAGTAATAAATCAAAAATCGACAAAACAACCATTACCTGCTCTAGGTGTAACAAATGTAAGCCTCTTGGTTTTATTAGGAATTATCAAATTTTGGTCAACTACATCCAACACTTGGTAGTCAGCGACCACAGTCTGCATTCCTTTTTCATTAGATAATGGTGTTGAGATTGTGGTTTCACTTGAATCCACTATTTGTTGTGTCTGCACCCTCACATTTCCAATTTTTTCAACATCACCACTTATTCCAACTATACCGTCAACACCACCAAAAATATCAAACCAAGCCATTTCCTTATCACCCCCAAAAGGCAAAGTAAATCCACTGACTGTACTTCCTAATAGACTGGTCAGCCGGTCTAATACGTCATCTGTGGGTATATAGTCGGCAGGACCACCACCAGTCTGCAATAAGAATATTAGATTTAACATTATTTTACAACATGCCATTAAGTCTTCGACTACAAAGATATACATGTGTTAGAAATAGATAACCTTAATTTGGTTCATCCTTACTTGGGTGCTGCGCTTGCGCGAGGTCTTTTTTTAAATTTTGCCACTTCAAACGCAACTGTTGTGGTGTTCTCGGACAATTTGTATCTGTGGCATTAAACCGCTCTGCCAAACGAATCCACTCTTCAGTTTTGAGTTTGTTGTTTGTGGCGTTGGTTGTTTTGGTGGTTATTATTTTGCTACCTTCTATTAGGTCAAGCAAAAACTTTGTCTCTTCTTTTGTAAGAGGTTTGCCTTTTACAAAAGAGACAAAGTTTTTTTAATAAGTACCAACGATTTTTGAATCCATTTTACTGTAATTAATAATATATATATATATATATATATATATATATATATATATATATATATATATATATATATATATATATAATTCAACTCATTTACTAGGAAAAAGAATCCAATCCTCTTTAACTATAAGCTCGACGATAATTTACTAAAAAGAGTAAATGAACTGCGTGATCTTGGTTTTTAGTTGTATAGTAAGTTGTTACTGAGATCACATATTAATATAATAACTCAAAGAGCTTATAAAATGCTAGGTTTTGTAATGCGTATCTCAAAAGATTTTAAAAACTCTACCAAATTAATTATACTATTTAATACTCTGGTGCGATCTATTCTTGAATATTGCTCTTCATGTTGGAATCCTCAATACAAAGTTTATGTTAAAATGATTGAAACAATCAATAATAAGTTTCTGCGTCACTTAAAGCGATATGATTCTTCCGTAGACTCCTATATTGAAAGCTTACACAGTTATACACTCGAAAAACGCCGTGATATAAGAGATCAAATGTTGTACAAATTGCTACATAATATCATCGACTCACCCCTACTTTTAAGCAAAGTGAATCTTGCGTGTCACCGGTTAGGTGCACGAAAAAAAGCCTCTTTTTGCATTACGTAAAGTAAAAACGAAGTATGCTTCTAATAATTTTGTATATCGTACATGTAAAAATTTTAACTTAAAATATTGTGAACTAGATATTATTTGTAGCTTTTAGTATTAATTGGTAGCTTCACTATAGGTTGTGTGTATTGTATTACTTTTATTTTATGCTTAGTACTTAATGTTTAATTATAAATACCATTCAGTTATTTTTTTTCAATCTTTAAACATATTGTGGTTGCAAGCTTTTAATATGTTTTAGATATCTGTGGAAACTTCATTGGTTTTAGGATTACTTTTATATGTTTTATAATGTATTTTTTATTGTACTGTATGTTTCCCTGAAAAAGCAAATAAATATATATATATATATATATATATATATATATATATATATATATTTGTACACGGAAATAACTTACGTCGCAACTCGCAATCAAAATATGTCAAACGTAAGACGCCTAACATCGTACATTCCATTTCAGCTAAATAATATCATAGTTTAAATACCAAGAATTAGTGTAAATACAAAGAAGTGGACATGGATATCCCCCGATGGCAGTACCAAAAAACGAAATTGACTACATAACAACAAACTATCCAAAGGCTTTCACAGATACGTCGGTCTTACTTAATTTAACTTCAATACAAACCATCGTATAGTAAGAAGCAACATAAGAATAGAAACATCAAAGAAATCTAGAAAATATTTTGCTTCATTCTCTATAAGACACTACAGTGATGAAACCTTAAAGAAAAAAAAAACAATCTTTAATTGAATCATTTTATTATGAGTAACATTGATGCAGATACGAGATATGAAAACTGGAAAATCTACTAACTAAAGTAAAAAATGATACTATGG